CCCACAGGGTATGGGACGCAGCCAGCACCAGTTTGGCTTGCAAAGACTTTTTCTTGGCCAAGTGTCTAGCATTTCCAAATGCTGTCCTCCTGGGCACTGTTTTCCCCAGTGTCACTGAGTATGGTCGGTCCTCAGAACTTCCCCAAATGACAGCAAACAGGGGCCCGGGTAGTAAAGTTAGCCCATTATGAAGTAACTTGTTTTTGCCGTTTTATACAGTTTTCATAGTCTGCCTATAAACCTAAACTTGTTGGAATGATTTGCCCACTGATAAAATTTTCCATCAATTAAATTCTATTTTTTTTTACCCTGAAATTATTTTAGTAGAATAGATTTGTTTTCAAAATATGCAGCCTTAGTTACTTGTCCATTCAACCCTGCCAACAACGGGATACCTCCTGGACTCCAGACCTGGTTCCCTTTTTTTTAGTTTCCAGTTTCTTTATGAATGTTCAGTTGGTATTTGGCGCTTTTCGAGTAGTCGTCCAGCCTTCTTCCTGCCTCTGTGCTCTCTTCGCACCAATTCATCCTTCCAGAACAATCTTGCTAAGTTTATCATCATGCTCCTTCCTTGCTTAAACATGTTCTGTATTGCACCATAACTTATATAAGAAAGTCAAACCAGCCTGAAATTTTAGTCATTATCTAGTTTACCCCTTAATTTTACAGACAAGGAGTAGAAGTTTTGCTGAGATGATACAATGGGCCTAAGCAGAAGTAGACTTTGCCTCTGGGGTTCTGGTGGTGGAACCTTTCCTGCTGTGCCTGCTGTTTTCCATTTAACTCTTTAGCCTCATATTCAAAAGGTCCCCTTTGGATGGAGCTTTACTGACTTATTTCTTGCCTCTTTTTTTTAAATTTAATTTATTTTTTATTAAATCATAACAGTGTAAATTAATACTATCATAGGGTACAGTGTACTGTTTCTCTATACAATTTGAAATATTTCCATCCAACTGGTTAACATAGCCTTCATGTCTTTTTCTTAGTTATTGTGTTAAGACATTTATATTCTACATTTAGAGAGATTCACAGGTACCCTTATAGGATGAACCATAGGCGTGATCCCACCAATCAAGCTCCCTCTACTCACCCTCCCGCCTCCCCTCCCTTCTCTCTCCCCTCTCCCCATATTCCTGGGCTAAAATTGGGTTATTTCCTGCCTCTTATCTGGTCTCCTGCCATAAGCTTTCCCATTTCTTTGCCTTTGCATATGAATTTCCCTCTTTCTAGAATGACCCCCTCCCTTGCATTGAATATTAATAGAAATTCATACTTGTTCACACATGATACCTAAGTATTGAACATTTTACACAAGTTGTTTAATCCGTATAAACCCACTGGCCTGGTTCTGTTATGATTCCCATTACACGTGTGACACTTCATGCTGAAGAAGATGAAGTAACTTGCCCAAGACCTCTGAGTTAACAGGTGGCAGGGCCAGGATCCAACCCGAGCCGTCTGTTTCCAGAACTTGTTCACAGCCTTTGAGGAATATCTTCCAGGTTCCAGGCCAAAGGCTCCCTCTCCTATCCACAATTTTTCAAAATGATCAGTTTACACCAGAGAAGCCAAATTTATCACAAAGATATCTGTGTTTTATGAATGCTGTTCAACAAAGTACAGATAGACTATTTCTTATCCAAAATTCTTGAGAACAGAGTATTCTAAGATTTTGGATTTTTTTCAGATTTTGGAATGTTTGCAGATACATGCTCAGGATAACTTGGGGACGGGACCCAAGTCTAAATGCAAAATTCATAATCTACATTATATACATAGACTGAAGACAATGCAATACATACAATATTTTTAGTATTTTTTTGCATGAAATTTTTTCATGTAAGTAATTGTGTGTCAAATTTTCCACTTTGTGGCACCATGTCAGTGCTCAGAAAGTTTCTGATTCTGCAGCATTTCTTGTTTCAGCTTTTTGGGTTAGGGATGCCTATCCCCTATAAAATACTTAGAAAGTAATGTAATCATGAATGAAATGATCACACATATCTATAGCTTGACTTCCTCAGTTCTCTTCCAGATATAATTGGAATGGAACAATGAAAGCCAAGAAAGTAATATTGGGAGACTGCTCTGTAGATAGAAGTTCTGAGGGCTGGCACACAGAGCATCCTACCACTGTCAGTTACCCTAGAAGCTGTGACCTTGGGCAGGCCACTTAACCTTGCTGAGTTTCCTCCTCCTCAGCCAGATAAAAGGCTTCATAAGGCATCTCATGGGGTCATGCTAAAGACTATGTATGGAAACTTGTTGTAAATTGTCAAGCCCCTTTCAAAAACAGCATTATTGTTCAGTCCCACTAGAAATCAAGTATCAGTACATCAGCTTAATGCAAAAAATACTTTATGACCATACACTCCCCAAAGTGGTAACAGTGTGCAGCTTTTAGTGTCTTGGTAAGTGAAATGTCTTTGAAGCAATTTTTTGTATATAATTGCTCATAAGATGGATTGGCTAGCGTATCTCTTACATTTTCTCTGCTTTTTAGATATAGACTCAGAAGCTAAGTTTTCTAAATACCACTTCAATTGATGGTATATTTGCGTTTTTTATTAGTAAAATAATGTGAATCATGCTGAAGAAAAGTGGTGCTTATTAAGCAGCTTCTGATCAGAATACCTGTCCCTTCTTCCTGCCCTTTTCCATCTGGAATGGCTTTCATTTTATATGGTTGGTTCATCCTGAAACAGAATGTTTCCGCTCCCTCTCACATTCCAGCTTTCCAACCTGCAGAGATGTCTTCTGTGTTTTTGCAACCGGGGTTTACGTTACACGCCTAGATCATAGTGCTTTTCAAAAAGAAGGATGAAGATTTACAAAAGAAAAGAAATTATGAAATCGTGGTGGAAAGTTTGACCGAGAGGAAGAAAGTTAGGTAGGAAAAGGAAGGGCGTTAACCCCTACAATATTTGAAAAATACAAATGCCATCTTCTGCGGCAGCTCAGAGTGTTTTCAACAAGCAGCTGGGATTCTGCTCTTTTATTAAGGGTGACATGAGGAGGGATGATGGTGGAGAGTCGCAAGTGGAGGGCATTCAAGTCTAGTGCCAAGAGTAGATAAGAACAGGAGGTGACGCTAAGAGGAGGCTGTGCTCTGAGCATCATAGATTCCAGTCCATATTTAACAAGTGATGTCCATGTGACCTCAATCTAGTTAGCCTAACCTCTTGGAGCCTCGATTTCTTCATCTGTTAAATGGAGACAATACGTCAGGGAAATCTGAGGCTAGAATGTGATGATGCAGTTTAAGTGTTAATGACCACAGTGCCAGGATATGATAAATACTCAGTAAGTATTAAAAACTGTTAACTGTTTTATGATGCAGTGAACTGGAGAAGGAGCGACCAGAACAGGTGCCTCAGCTCTTGGCTAAAATGGGTGTGGGGGGGTGGTGCCGGAAGTAGGATGGCAGTGAACACAGGGGGATCAGTTACTCCCTCGGCTCCCATCTGACTAAGTCTGGATTCTTTTCTCACCAAATTATTCTTAGATTCTAGAAGCTCTTGGCAAGACCAAAAAGAACTATATTAATAATGTTATGGTCGTGTGCTGCTGAAGTGAGCACGAGATGGACAATGTTAGTGGGAAACTAGTGGGAGATGGCCCAGGCTAGCAAACGTGGACATGACCTCTGCTTTCTGTAGGGAGAGGAAAGTTTTTACAGATAGGAGGGGAAATGTGTCTATAAAGCAAAGCAGACCTACTGAATATACAAGGATGCAAAACCATTCAGTTTTTTACATTGAATATTATCTTAATACCCAGTGTGCTAAGTAAGTCAGTTGTTGGCTGTGTTATTCAGCTAGTGATCTATGACACGGGTGAGGATGACATTGTCGGTACTGTATGTAGGAAGGTAAATAAAAGAACCTAGAGCTCTGTAACTTGACCAGGGTTTTATGCCTCTGAAGTTAGTTGCTAATATAGCTCTCAGTAAAGAATGTGGTTTGAGTGTTTACAGTGTGTTCAGCACATTCACCTGTTTCCATTCTGAAGGACCATTTGTCAAAGGTACTTAGATCTCTGTTTTGTAAAGAAGAGGAAACAACGTACAAAAGGTTTAGATATGTTTCAGATTTGCTGGTTCCAAAACTGTTGCTTATTCACTTACGCCACAATGACTGATGTAAATAAATTAGGCATTTGTTAAAGTCTTTAAGAAGCCAGGCAGGCATTTGAAGCATCTCACAGGTTCAGCACAAGGTAAGAAGATTGCTACATCACAAACTGAGTCTTTCTAAATTATTTAAGATATAAAGCATTTGGATCTCATAGATAGCACTGAGCCTTTTTTAAAGATCAGCATAGAATAGTAGTTTTCAAACTTAAGCATGAGTCAGAATCACCTGCAGGACATGTTAAGTAAGATTCATGGGTCTGACAAGGCCTGAGAATTTGCATTTCTTTTTTTTATTTTTATTTTTTTATTCTATAAAGTCAAATACACATAGATCATGAATACATTCATGTGTATGTGGGTTACAGTAAAAGGCGGGTCCACACCTATGGAGCATATGACAAGGGTACAAGTCAAGAATTTGCATTGCTTACAGGTTTCCTGCTACTGGCATGAGGTTCACACTTCGAGAACTGCTGACAAAAAACATACTTTATGGGCAGCACCTGTGGCTCAGAGGAGTAAGGCACCAGCCCCATATGCCGGAGGTGGTGGGTTCAAACCCAGCCCCAGCCAAAAACCACAAAAAAAAAAACAAAAAAAACCCAAAAAACTTTATTACTAATTCTATGGCGAGACAGTAGGAAAATGCTCTTGGAGGGAAATTTCAAGACCACAAGTAGAAGTTGAAATTCAGACTGTGTTTCCAAAAATCACTATATATAATATATATGTAAACATTGCAATTTACTGGTAACTTTAAAAAATGTAATAGATTTATGCTTTCCTACAGTCCACTAAAATAACATGCTTGATCTGTATAAATGTTCTGACGGAATTGTTTTTTGTTTGTTTGTTTCTGTAGGTGGCAAATCTTCCAAAAGACTACATGATTACCCTCAAATATGTTCCCGGGATGGATGTTTTGGTATGTGAACTATACGTTTCTGAGTTAAATTTTAGTAACTGACGGACGCGATGGGATCATTCATGCTGAGAAAGGAAATGAACTACCATTTAGGAGTTCGTTAATTATCAGAGTTTGAAGAAGCTGTCTTTGGAATTCGCTTCTGTGTAGGTTTCCCCCACGTCACACAACCGCTGACCGTTAGCTGTCAGCATTTCAGACACGTTTCAGTGTCTTAGAACTTTACATTGACCCCTCAGAATCTGGGGGGTCGGTTCCAGAACACGCCTACACACACCTCCACCCTTCCCCACACACTGTGGGCACCAAAAATCCGAGGATACTCTAGTTCTTTTTATCAAATGGAGCCGTGTTTGCATATAACCCATGCACATCTTCCCATATACTTTAAATCCACTTTAGATTACTCATAATATCCAATATAATGTAAGTACCCTGTAAGTAGTTGTTACATTGTACTTTCTAAATTTGTGTCATTTTTTATTGTTGTATTCTCAAATTCCTTTCATCTTTGGTTGGTTTAATCTGTGGATATAGAGGGCGTTTAATCTGTGGATATAGTCTTGCGTGGAATTTTACCTAAATTCTTTTCCTATCTGAAAAGATTTTAGATAAGTCTCTCTCTTATTTACTTGAGAACAGAGAGTATTTTATCTCTAAATTTCTTAGCAGTCCAATACATTTTTAGAAACTTATAGTAAAAGAGTGTGTTTAGTGTAATAAATATTACTCTCTACCAAAACCAAGATGTTTGAATTATTTTTCTTATTTCATAGTTTTAGAACTTATACATTAAGTGATATTTCAAGCATAGAGGCAAGTATAATACATGTATACCTATCATAGAGCTTATTATACCTTACCATTGTGCAATATTTGCTTCAAAGCTATTATTTAATAAGGAAACATTATAACTAAAGCCCTGTGTGTGTTCCTCCCCTATCTCCATTATTCCTCACTTTGTCTTTAGGGGTAGTAACTATTCTAAGCTGGAATTTTTCATTCCAGTGTATGTCTTGGGGGCTTGGTAAGGAGACCAGCATCCCCCGTAGATGTAGAGCAGAACGGTTCACATTAGCCCTTCATGCTCTTAGAGTTTTACTACAAAATATGCATCTATACATAAGATACCAGCTTTTTGCATATTTAAAATTACGTTTGAGCCATCCTATGCTGTATATACTTTGTAACTTGCTTAGATTTTTCAACATTCTTTTGACATTTTGTTCTGTATCGATTCATTGTAACTACTTACTGCATTGCGTTCCTTGAGTCAATCTAAAACCATTTGACGCTTCACTACACAATCATTTGGTGCAGGTTGTTTTAGGTTTTCAGCCATTCAGCCAATCAAAACGATTACCAATGTAAGCACATCACTGCGAACTTATGCTTAAAGTGCCTTTCAAAAACTGTGAGACTGTTATTTCAAGAGAACGTCAAAGGCTATTTTTTCCCCATTAGTAAGCATTTTAGCACGAACTGTCTAACGTTCTTTAGAATTCTGGAGAACTTGTATGTACATGTTGAACCAGTAACCTTCCCGCTTAAGCCAATGTCTATCCTGCTGACTTAGGGAGAGTTCTCTGGGAATAGAAATGTAAACTTATAGCAGTCTGAAAGTTAATGAATCCAATCATTCAGTCACTCACTCAGCAAGTATTCAGTTAGGAAAAACTGACCAAAAGTGCTTTGAGGAGCCAGCACTTTACTGACACTTTTGGGAACAAACACACATCAATTGGACAATGACCTTATAGTCAAAAGCTTTAATAGTAAGTGGGAGGAAATTATCTGGCCTTTTATAATTTTCCATTTCAGGTATGTATTTCCTTTACAGCTCAAAAGTATTTTGCTCAAGGTTATACGACTAGAAAGTGACAGTCTTAAAAAGAAACCCCCAGGTCATCTGATGCTTAACCCTGGGTTAGGGAAGGTGGGGATCTAAATTACAGTAATTACAAGTTCAAGGGAAAGTGTTTGCACAGAGTCCTCTGGAAAATAAGGACCCACTCCTACTCCCGAACTACAGCAGCCTGTAGGATGGTGATTGCCAAAGTTACGTGAAGAAATTCTTCTGCTCATTGAAAAACAAGGAGAGCTGAAAAGAACTAAATCGATTATTTTGTGCTGGTGGAATCGTCGATTGTGCTAAATCACAGATTTCAGCCTCGGCTGGGGATAGCAAGAGCCAAACTTGTGAAAATAAAGCCGATTCACTGCCACATATTTTGTGCTTGTTTCTGTAATTGAGAAAAGTCCACTATTATTTGGTCCTGGCACACTGTCCTGGCACAAGTGAAAAAACAGTGTTCTTGGCCACCACAGTTGGCAAGAAAAACAAGCCCGTGCGTGGGGCTTTGGGCAGCAACAGGAGTCTTACCCTTTGTGTTACCTTCATTTTCAAACGTTAGTTTCTGCCAAGACCAGAAGAGGTTTTTGGTGGAGAGGCCCCTGATTACTTTTGAGTGGTCAGAATCCCAGCTGGCTTATCTTTTGTCTCTAAACAATAGAGGGTGGAGTGGGAGTGGGTGCCAGAAAGATTCTTTGGGGCCAAAGCTGCAATATTCTGCCAGATGCACTGGGCAGAAGAAAGCTCTAGAATCAAGTACACTTTTTTTTTTTTTTTTTGCTTTTGTTTTAAAAACCAAATATTCCTGGAAAAAGGAGTCCACTTCTCTAAAAACCTTCTTAGAAAATTACCTAGCAGATTTTCTCTCACAAATAGCAGGGTGCGATCAACTGCTTAGCATTTAAATCTAACGATAATCACCAATTCTATTTTAAACTCTCTGAAACTATTATATTGCCAGACTGTTAGGGTTTCCTTGAACTTCATAACCTTAAAAATACTTGAACATTCCTGGTTCTTTCTAATTTACTAGAATTGTTGTTGTAGAAAGAACACAAACCAAGGCACTAAATTATTGCCTCACATCTGTGTCCATTCAGACTTCCATGATATTACATAAATGATGGGGTGCTTGTGAGATTTCTTTTTGCTTTTCATTTTTTATTTATTTTTATATTTCGGATGAATATGAGGGCTGTTTGTGATATTTGAGTAAAAAAGTCTTCATTGATATTTCATTAACATAAATTGTATGTTCATTAGTTCTCTTTCAAATTTTTATTTGGAAGTAATTTCAAATTTATAGAAAAGCTATAAGAATACCCATAGGCCTTTTAACCCAAATTCACGTATTTTCAACATCCTGCCTCAGTTCCTTTATCTGTTACTTTTTTTCTATATCTACATGTGCGTCTTATTTTTTTGAACTTCTGCCCCAATTGCTTTATCTCTTGTCTTCTTCCTTGAGTGCATACATTCTTATTACTTCTCTGAACTTCTTCAATAAGTAATATTCATCATGGCCATCTACCCTTAAATCTTTACTGTGCATTTCCTAAGTAAAGAATACTCCCTTGCATAAACATAGTACATTTGCCATTTCAATAAATTTGTCAATAATTATAATACTTTATTTGCTATATTTCAATTTTATCTTTTTTTTTTGTTTTTGCATTTCTTTTCTTGCAGTACAAGAGCTATGATTTGCATTCTGATATTATATGAATAATGGCTTTCTGAGGTTATCTTGTGATTAAATTACCTGACATGGCAAAAGAGAGTTTACAGATGTAAAGGGTTTTGTGATGGGAAAATTACTCCAGATTCTCTGGGAGGACCCAATCTAATCCACAGGAGTTCATAAAAGGATGGCAAGAATGTGAAAGCCAAAGATAGACTTGAAAATGTTACACTGGTGGCTTTGAAGATGGGGGAAGGGACCACAAGCCGAGGAAAGTAGGTGGTCTGGGGAAGCTGGAAATGGTGAGGAAAATTATTCTCTGTTAGAGCCTCCGGAAGACACACCGTCCCAGTGATCACCTTGATTTTAGCCTCTTACAGCTTACTGTAAATATATGACCTCAAGAACTGTAGAATCACAGATTTGTGTTGTTTTAAGCCACCACACTTGTGGTAGGGTGTTATAGCAGCAATAAGCAACCAAAACATTGTCTTTAGTCTTTTTTAACTTTTCCTGAGCCTTTTCTTGTTCTATGGCATTGAGATTTCTGGAATGAGACAGTTCTCTTTCAGTAAAGTGTTTCTCTTTGAAAAATTTGATTACCATTTCTTAATGATTCCATTGGGTTTATGCATTCCAAGCCACAGTGCCACGTAAGTGATGATGCATGCTCAGGCTGTCACATCCAGGGGCAGACAGTGTCCAGCTTCCCCTCAAGGTGCTATTTGTTTTGGTCACCTGGTTGTGATGGGCAACTATGTCCTTGTATTTGCTCTTTAGCAATGGGAGGAGAGACACTTTTAAACTATCTAAGCATCCTGTTCTTCATCAGAGTCTCTCCCATAGACTTAGCATCGACTGATGATTCTTACCTGAATCAATCTCCTGTCACGTCTTTGTCAGTTTTTAATGATGATATTTTTTAAGGCACACCTAAACGAGGAGGTGCTTGGCAACCTGCATTGTCACTCTAACAATCTCTGCAGCACAACTGCAGCCATGTGGTGTCACCTCTCAGCAAGTCCCCTCATCTGGCATGGTCCTGCTGCCTCTGGGCTCTTCCCATTTCCCTTAGCATCTCAGGATTTATTATTTAAGGTTTTTGCTCTCCTTGAGTAGATGGAGTGATAGCAAAAAAATAACACATCTGGTTCTTTTATCTGTCCATCTTCATATTTACTGAAAGGCTTTTCATTGATTTTAGGAAGCAGGAAAGGGAGTTCCTTCAACAAGGCCCCCAAGACTCTCATGATCTGGCAGCTTTCCAAATTTTTTCTCAGTCCCTCTTCCTCACGTTCCCATTGCCACCATTCCTTCTTATGTGGCTTTTTCTGTACCAGATTTCTGCTTGGTCCTTTTACCTAGTTAACACCTGATGCTTTCATATTTCAGTTTTTCTTCTTCCAGGAAGCCTTCCCTCATCTTCCTGATGAAACCAAGTCCCTTGTTACTCTTTTTTATTTCATT